TTATTTTGGAAATAAAAATCCCAAAAAATCTATATAAAAGATGTCTGTTATAGACAAGATAATCGAAAATTTTCACCATAATAATAATCACTTATTGACGACAGGTAACCAAAATCATCATTTATTTATCTCAGGTAAAGTTTGCTTTTTTTCCTCTGCTCAAAACAAAATATTAATGATAATCCTGTTGGTCATCGATCATCATCGTTTTTTTTTCTTGTGTGTGTGTGTGCACCAATAACATCCAATTAAATGTTCCAAAATCTACTCAAACGACATTGATGATGATTAGATGAAATTTGATACAACAGTTTCGGTCACAATCAAACAAAAAAACCATGTGATGAATAAATGAAAAGATGACCGATAAAGCTTTTTTTCAAAGTGCGTGGGGAACAACATTACAACAACGACGACGACAAAATAACAAATTCAATTTTCGAAAGAAAAAGAAAAGAAGCAAAAAAATGAAACGGGCCAAAAATCCAATAACTTAAACCTTAAATGGATATTTTTGTTTGTAAAAAAAATTCAATAGAAAAATAACGATATAGCACACCATACACATTACATAATGAATTTTTTTTTTCTGACCATTTTCAAGATTTCATTTTCATCATCATCATCATCATCATCATCATCAAGTTGAACATCTTGGACATCATCATCATTAACAACATCATCGACAACAAATGGATAAATTCGGCCAAACACATATTGGAATCCATAATGAAAGCACGAAGAAGAAAAAAAAAGATTTTCAAAATCATTTTTTAAAAATGAAATGTCGTAATTCATTTTATTATTTGGTAAAAAAGATTTTTCGGGGAAAAAATTGTTTTTTACAATTTGTATAAAAGTTTATGGAAAGTTTCTCGAAAAAAAAAAGTGAAAAACAATCCTGTAATGTCAACAACAACTATCGATTATCAAATATGGTGATTTTGTTTCGGTTGCTGAATTATGAATTGAAAATCAAAAGCAAAACAAACGAAACAAACGAAAAAATCCGGAACAATCAAAAATTTTGTTCAATGAAACTTCAATGAAAAAACAAGCAAAAAAAAAGATTAAAACTTTGATCAAGTGTTATTTATTGTCATTTCACACACACAAACACAAAGTTGGATATTTGTTTTGGTCACAAATTTTGATGGATTATCATCATCATCATCATCGTGTAACGAAGAAGAAGAAAAAACAACAAACAAGATTTAGTATTCCTTGGTAGAAAACAAGCAAAACATTCAGCTCCCAAAATCTAATCAATCAAATTTGATAAAGAAAATCTCTCACTTTGATCGCAATATCACCATATCCGATTTGTGTATTTTAGTTTTGTTGTTTTTTATTTTACTACCGAATTTAGCAAGATATTATATGGATATTTTACAACAACAACAACAAACAAAACTAATCGTTTTGGTTGATGCAAAAGCTCGTCGTCGTTTGTCGATAACGAAAAATCATTCAAAAAATTTTATCGAAAATTCAATAACAGAAAATCAACTTACATCAAATCATCATCATCGTTTATTGACTTTTTTCTTATCGAATTTATTGTGTTAAATAATTTATTCAGGTTCACTAACACTGAGTTATACATATGGTAATCATCATTTTTCATAAAAGAAATGGACAAATGCAAATCGATTCTTTACGATTCTTCCGAAAAAATGACCAAACCAAAAAATTGTTTGGACCACACCAACATTATCAATGACCAGAAAGAATCTAGGCCAAACCTATCAAACGTCATGATGATGATGATGACGAATAAACATTTGTGCAACAACAAAAAAAAACAAGAATTATTTCCAGAAAATTCTGTCATTTTTTTTTATTCTGTTGTTGAGAGTTTTTCCAGAAAATTTCTCTACATTTTTGTCAAATATCATTTTAGCTTTGACGTTTTCATCATCATCAACATCAAATGTTATACATGGTATGACCGGAAATTTTCTTCATATTTTTTTTTGCCCGTAAACGACAAACAAGAAAATTTTTTTTGGCTAATAATTTTCTTGCTAAACAACAGCAACATAATGATAACTAAATTGATGTCGTTTAGCTTTAAATGGCATTTATATCATCATCATCATCATCATGAAAACCAAACGACCGGGCAATTTTATTTGAATGAAAATGAAAATGAAAGAAAGAAAACAGGGAACAACAATTAGATGATGGTTCAATTCAATAAAAATCATCATAATTTGGTTGGTTGTTTGGTTGGTGAGTGATAGTGGTTTGTGTGTTGTGTTGCCTAAGCAAGCGAAAAAAACATTTAATAAAAGAATGTTATGTAATGCAATGTAATGTTGCTGTTGTGTAACTACAGAAATGTTTTTTTTTAAAAGGTTCACTGTTGGAACATAGATATTTATTTGTTATTGGAAAATGGAAAAAAAACCACTAAACAAAACGAAAAACGGAAGAAAAAATACCCGGAATCGATTCTGTTGTTCAAGAAATGTTTTTTTTTTGTTTGTTTCATATGGAGAAACTTTTAGATTTTGTTTTTGTTTTTCAAATCGTATAAATGCTGGACGGTAGCTGATATCAAAAAAATTTTCATTCATCCAGAACCAAAAAAACAGAAAAGAATTCTGATTCTGTAATTCTGTATTCAAATCAAAACAAACCAAAAAACAATAAGACAGGTAAGAATAATAATAAAAAAAATAATTGAATTGAATTCTTTTCTTTGAAGAATTTCTTTCAAAGAAAAACAAAACTAAAACGAAAAACAGCAAACCAAAAAACAACAACAAAAATAATGTTCTTCAATTTGTTTTTCAAATCAATGAAATTGATTATGAAAAACAACCTGAATTCTCTTCTTTTTTTTCCCGTAAAACAAACCAAACAAACTAATAATAATAATTTACACTATCCAACAATGGACAGTAACAAACAAACAAACAACATTAAAATTTAATCAACATAAAATTTCGATTTCTTAAACCCAAAACCAAACCAACGAAAAGAAAATGATGAACCAAAGAATTCGGACAAAAAAAAAGAATTCTTATTCTTATCATTATTCTGATCATTCTACAGATGCACACTGACTGTGTATGTGCATTGTGCCAGGTGAAGAAAATAAAGAAAAGAATAAAAAGAAGAAACCATTATGATAACGATCATCATCATCATTTCGATTCTAGTCGAAGAAGAAGAATAAGAAAAGAATATTCTTTCTTTATTTCCATTGTGTGTGTGTGTAAAATGCATCATTCAAATATCAAAAACACAAAACGGACATCTATTGTTGATCGTAGTGTTGATGATGATGATATCATCACCATCATTATCCACCATCATCCACAACAATGATAATGATCATCAAATGTGTTTTTCCAACAACAACAAAAGAATATTCATTTTAATATCATTTTGTATGCCCGAATTCAACGAATTCAAGAATTTCTTTTGCTTTTTTTCTTATGGAACCAAAGAAAGAAATAAACTTTTTCCCAGTATATTCTGTATATGCAAATTCTTTATTATTCGCATTTTGGAAATTCTGCAAAAAATCGCTGTTGTTAAAGTGAATTATTTAAATTTTTTTTCCATTCAACAACATTACCGACCAACAAATGATTCGAATAAACATTCATTCATTCTGGAGGGGGAAAAGAATCTGATTTCCGTACGGGAAAATATGTTTTTTTTTCGTTCGTTTTTTTTTGTATCATTACTGCAGATCATTAATGAAAGAAAGTTTTTTGGAAAACTATTTTTTTTATCAAAAAAACAACAAGAAACATGCAAGGTATTTGTTTCAACAACAACAAAAATCACTAATTTTGTTTTTTTTTCAAAATCAAAAATGCTTAATGACTTTTCAAACACTCTGTCTCTCTCTCTCTATGTATGCTGCTGGTCTAAAAATAACGTCACTCAGGTAATATTTTTTTTTGTGCTGCCAAAAAATTTACCTGGAAAAATCTTAACCAAAAATGATGGCCTCTTTTTGTTGTTGTTGTTGATTAGAGATATCGACAAACGACAACAACAACAAATGACAAACAACAACAACAAATGACAAACGACAATCTTGTCATTCGGAGAACTGGGATAAAATATCCGATTGAAAAAAATAAACAATATCCGTTCGAATTTCGATTTGACCCGAATATGCATTTGACCATGGAAATGTAAATCGATAAATTTTACAATAAGATTTTCCGGGGAAATTTCCCGACAGACAAGAAACTTACCTTTTTTGTTCTGGCGGTTTTTTTTCGCTGATTTTTTTTGGATGAAAAATCGATAGAATACTGTCGGTTGTTATTCAAATTCGAGAATCGATCTCGAAAAACACACAAAACACACCAAAAAACGTGGTGAAATTGAAACTTTAAAAATTCAAAATTCAAAAACCACACCATACACACAGATGTTACAGAATGATCTTTTTTGGGCAAAACTTTTCGGTTTGTTTTCCTGATTCTGGAATTTACATTTGAAAATTTTTTTTCTGCTGAAAACCCCAAAAACACTTAGATGTTGGGAAACAAACGAAGGAAAATAAAAAACCCAAAATGAAATCAAAAAAAAAAAAAAAACGTTCAGTATCGATTGTCGGTCTGTAGCCAAATGATTTCGGCTGTTGTTGACGATGATGACGATGATGAGAGAAACATTTGGATGTTTCACTGTTGTTTTATGGTAGTGGCATATGGAATAGTAACAGACACTGGATACAATGCAATNCTAGAAAAAATCTTAACCAAAAATGATGGCCTCTTTTTGTTGTTGTTGTTGATTGAAGATATTGACAAACGACAACAACAATAAATGACAAACGACAACAACAACAACAATCTTGTCATTCGGAGAACTGGGATGAAATATCCGATTGAAAAAAAAATATACAATATCCGTTCGAATTTCAATATTGACCCGAATATGCATTTGACCATGGAAATATTCTTTTTTCTTTTTTTTCCTATAATTTCCCGGGAAAATTTCCCGACAGACAAGAAACTTACCCTTTTTGTTCTGGCGGTTTTTTTTGCTGATTTTTCAATCGATGAAATGTTGTCGGTGGTTGTTGTTCAAATTCAAGAATCGATCGCGAAAAACACACCAAAAAAACGTGGTGAAATTGAAACTTTAAAAATTCAAAAATCAAATGAAATTTGAAATGAAATTTGAAAAAAACCACACACACAGATGTTACAGAATCTTTTTTTGGGGCAAAACTTTTCGGTTTTGTTTTCCTGATTCTGGAATTTACATTTGAAAAATTTTTTTTTTCTGCTGAAAACCCAGAAACACAAAACACTTAGATGTTGGGAAACAAACGAAGGAAAAAAACCCAAAATCAAAAAAACGTTCAGTATCGATTGTCGGTCTGTTGCCAAATGATTTCTGCTGCTGTTGTTGACGATGGCGAGAGAAACATTTGAATGTTTCACTGTTGTTTGGTGGTAGTGGCATGAAAAATAGTTACGGACACTGGATGTAATGCGATTTGATTGGTGGAAAATACTGTTCGGTGAATGAATCTTTTACCTAATCTTTACCACTTCCTCTTCTCTTCTGTATTTTTTTTATCAGCATTTTGTTTTTTTTATTTGTTTTTATTATTGACATTTAATGAAAAAACAAAAAAATGATAATTTTGTTTTTTTTTCTCATTTCCGATTCTTTAAATGAAAAATGAAATGAAAAACTCCTTAATTAAATAATGACCCGAAGATAAAATTCTTATCGAAATTCTTATCTGGCTACTACCACTACACTATCGTTGCGACTACAATCGCAGACAATCGATAATCGATAGTGGATTCCGGTTTTCGAACATATTCGATTCGGATTTATTCGACGGAAAATTTTCAATGTTATTGAATTTTGTTGTTTTGTTTTTGTTGTTGATCTTCAAAAATGATGAAACTTTTGAAACGAAAAAACAAGATTAAGTTGTCAACACACACACACCCGAAAAGCAAACTAACCGTTAT